TATTGTAGAGAGAGAGACAAAGGCATAATTGTTTGGCATGTCTAATTTAAAGAAAAGGAAAAATATAGTGGGATTAAACAATATATATATATATATATATATATTATGTAAAAGAAATTACATTGTTTATACTTCCACTTAATTATTTTTTTTATGTGTTTTTAAAAAAAATCAACAACAAAATATAAATTGTCTTTTATCAAAACTATATACATTATTTTATAAGATGATTCTACACTCAATTTTAGATAAGTATAGTTTGAATCAAATTATATTTGTTAATAAACTATAAAAAAATGTATCTTGAATATTAAATCAAACTAATTATTTGTTAGTAAACTTTAAAAACAATATATATTGAATAAAAAGAACGTATTTAATTATGACCTATTCTACCCAATTTAAAAGTTGTAAGAGTAAATAATAGAGTATATATATATATATATATATATATATATATATATATATATATTAGTATTAAATCGTATTAAATGAGAAAATATCCAACATTTTAAATTTTATTAAATCACAATAAATGAGAAAATACCAAACATTTTAAATTTATATTACAACGAAACTATTTGTTTAATTGTAAAAAAAAGTATATGAAACTAACCTAAAAAAATATATTTAAATTAATAACTGCAGCTCATTCTTTTCAAAACATTATTTTTCAATATAAAATGTTTATGTAAGAAACGGGGAAAAACGGGTACGGCCGCACGCATGTAAAACGTAAGAAACGGGGAAAAACGAAAAAACTCAGATGAAGTCTAAGTGAGGTTCCACCCAAAACTAATTAGTGGAAGGAGTAGTAGATCATTAGACTTATAAATTAGACATACTTTCTCTATATAAACGATGTGAGACAACTCACAAGTGAATATTCTAATAGTTTCATTCTCAACATTATTTTTAGTTTCATATTTTAGGTGAATTTCAAATGTATCATTGTGTCTTTGTCTTGACTTTTACAACAACAAGACACATTACTATTATTACTAATTTATAAAAATAAACATAAATTCTACATATTATACTATTAATAAAGATTATTTTACTATTAATAAAGATTAATCAAATCTAATCACTATAATTCATCTCCTAAAAATATAATCTAATGGCTTGGAGACATATATATATATATATATATATATATATATATATATTGTTCTAAAAAAATATCTACATGATTGTGTATTATTACTACTGTTTATTTCATAACTGCATAAATTTTGACAAATATTGTCTTAGAGCTAAAAAACGATATCATCACGTACCAACCAATATTGATATATTTGGTGATGAAATCGAGATTTTTGGTGAAAATTATTTCTAGCTAATTAATTATTTTTTAAATAATTATTTTGACTTAATTGATAAAAATAGTTTATTAGAAGATAGATTTCTCTTTGTTAAAGCTTCAGGGAAAAGATAATTTTTATATTCCTCGTTCGTAATTTTCAATTAAAATTATTAAATATTTTTTTTTTGTACTTTATTTACATTGAAATTTATTTATTTATTATTTTACACATGCAAGACAACAGAAAGGTTAGAAATGCCCAATAACTACTCATGTATAAATTAAAGGAACAAAAAAATTATAAAATTACAACACAAATATATTATAATGAATTCCAACGACAACTTCAACGGGTATATATTCCAATGTTATTATATTTGTCGAATTTTTTCAATAGATTCCAATAGGAATTACCACAATAATATTTCATTGAAATTAGTTTTTTGTTAGAATTTTCGTCGGATTTTGACGATACAAACGATAGATTTTCGTTGGAATCATTCCAACAAAAGTTATACAATTGAATTTTTCATTGAAATATATTATCGTATAATTTTCCTTCGTAATATATATTTTGTTTAAGGGAACCAATGGGGTTATGAATCAATGGACTTTAACTTTTAAGATAGAATATTTCTCCAATTTATTTAGTCAAATTATTTATCATTCTTTGTTTTATTTTATATCCAATCAATAAAAAAAAAATAAAAAAAAATAGTATCAATAATTAACAGTGTCTTGTCTTGATTAATATAACTAAATCATCACATATACAGTTTGGTTGAATGTGGCTGCACATGTAAGATGGGACCCTTTGTAATATGTGGCGATCGTCTCGAAGTTGATCCGCATTTAATTTTATAAATTAAAGCTAATTATTTCTATTTTTTTAATATATGTTGACGTATCTGAATATAATTGTATTTTATCCGTTTTGAATTTTGTTTTCCAAAATGTAGTAACTTAATTTTTATCAGTATTTTTTGTTTTATTTATTGCAATGACTTCTAATTCATATATGTAGTTATTGATACGCGAAATTTGATCAACATGAGGTATTCAGATAATTGTGTATATCGTTGAATTTCCTGTATAATTTCATGAATAAAAATTGAATAATCATCTTAAATTTCGGTAGAAATTAGGATAAGGATCGAGGCACAACCTCTCCTTTTTGGATCTGAGAGAGAAAGCATCAAAGGGAGAGAGAAGGAAAAAGTAAAATATGGCCACCCAGACTTATCTGTATGTATCCATCATCGGTGATATATATATATATATATTTATGTTTTTGGTCGGCCCAATATTATTACAAGTGGTGTGTTATTTTTTTTGTCCTAAAATAAAATAATTGGTATAATATACATTTACGTGTAATATTTTAATAGACGAGGCCAAATTAGGTATCAACAGTAGTCTTGATGTGTAAACTAGTCGGGCCAAACTCAAATTTTAATATTTAAACATAGGCTCGAGCATTTATCTAGCCATGATGAGCTTAGCGCTTTAACTAAATAGGCTAGTAATTGAATTAAGACTCGACTCAATTATCAATATTATAAGTGGAGTTATGAAAAAATATAAAAAATTTGCCAAAAAAAAAAAAAAAAAAAAAAAAAAAAAACTCAATCTCAATTCATAACGAGAACAAGCTAGCCAAACTTATGATGTTTGTTTTTGAGACTCTTAACGGGAAAGGATGTGGCTGATCCATTAAGACTGTGGGCCTAGGCCCACATTGAATTTTCCAATATTTTTTTTAATAATACTTAGATTATATATAAATTAATTAATGAAAGATTTAATTTACACTTTTGTAGGTGCATTTGAAAAGATATAAGTGTACCTCCCTCTCTCTCTCAAATTATAAAATGACTTATTGCATCTTGTTTTAACACCATTAATTATTTTTTATTTATTTTCATTTTTAGGGATCGACATTATTTATCCTATTTTGCGTAGATTTGAACTTGATATATAATTGATTAATTACTTAATACACTTATATAATAGTAAGAAGGAAACAATTAAAATCTTTCTTATTTATGTTAATTAATTCACATACATAGTAAAATTGATTCTAATTGGATCCCAAGATTTTTGTGTACAAGTTTCCAGGAAAATAACATTAAATTATACTTATGACGAATAGTTAACTTAAAAAAAAAAAATTAAAATAAAAGGAGAGACATTGATTGATATATGATTTTTTTTCTTTCCTTTTCATTCAATAAAAATTTATCTTGTTGAAACTAAGAAGATACATACATCTTTTATCCACAAGTAACATATTAAAACATAATAAATTCATTGTATGTTATTATTTTTAAATAATAATATTACTAGTTCACTAAAATAAATTTACATCAACTTTAATCATTACATTTTTATCTTGTATTCATTCACAATGTCAAATCTATCTCACTTTTCTTTTTATCTCTATCTTCAAATGAGACAATATTTTTGAAAAAAAATATGATTATATACAATCACAATCTATATTCTATAATTTCTTTTTTTTTTTTAATTTGAATGGTTAGTTATGAAAACAACTTAGCCCTCACTCATACAAATTTGTTAGATCCAAGAAAAAGGTACAAAGAAAGGAATAAAGGAAGACAGATGTAGTCTCAAAATGGGCTATGGTGGTCAGCAATTGAGTCCAACAACCAGCTGCCACGGCCCACGGATCCAACACATCTGGCCTTAGGCCAATCCAGCCCACAATCTTAACAGCTCCACGTGTCCAAATGTAAAGATTTCGCGGGCTTTTGGATTGCATAAGGTTAGGTTAAGTCACATTTGTTGTTTCATCAATCCTCCAACTTCAAAATACAATTTTTTTTTTTTTTTTTTTTTTTTTT